AGACACTTCCCTTTTGGAAAAAAGGTCACAAGACAGATGACCGTGTCCAGACATGTCAAAGTTCCTAATGCTATGATCTGTACATTTAAAGTGGTTAAAACATCATCTAACCTGACCCTGCTTTAATTAATTAATTAATTGGTAACATTCTATGGTATGAGCCTGTCGTGGTGGCATACAGCTTTAATCCCAGCACTTAGGAGGCAGAGGCAGGCAGGTCACTGTGAGTTCAGACTGGTCTACAAAGCAAGTCCAGGACAGCCAAGGCTACACAGAGAAACCCTGTCTCGAAAAAAAAAAAAAAAATTGTGGTAGGTGTGTATGTTTAAGACAGGGTCTCATTGTGCAGACCTGACTTAGCTGGATTTGTTTTTTACCACAGTAATAAAAAAATAAAATAAAAAATTAAACAACCAAGAAAGAACAGTCAACCCTTTGTGGCAAAAAAAACATTAAAAAAAAGGGGGGGCACAGTGACCATGCGTGCTTCGCCGACTAGAGCCCAGATGATTTACCCAAAAGGTCAGGACCTCAGTACAAATGAATACACAGAAAGCAGCAAGACCGATATGAGCAGTTATACTTCTAAAACAGAAGTGAAGTGGTCCACAAGAATGGTTTCTTTTTCATTCCCAGCTTTAATACGGTGGCTCTACAATAAGAAACTATAAGTGGCAATTTTAAAAATAGTACATATATATTTCTCCTCATACCAAAATTGAGTGACTGTGCAGCTCAGCACCTAGAACACATAAACCTCAACAAAAGAAAATACCTTCCCCTCCCCTCCCCTGTTCTACCCTCTCTTTCCCTGCCCTCCCCTCTCCTCTCCTCCCCTCCCCTGCCCTGCCCTCCTGTTATTCACTAGCACCGGCAGCCTGATCGGCCTCTGAGGAGCGTGCTGCTGTTTTGGACGGTGTCCCTCAGGCCCCAGCTGTTCCTCTGTTCTGTTCATTCTGGGTTTCTAACAGTGTCCCGTCTATATTTAGAAGTAATGCCAGTATCAACTGTAGAATCAACAGGTGCCTGGAGAGCACTTGAGCACTGAGCAGTTTTCAATTGTTTTTCCAAGTTAATTGGTTCTGGCTCTGCAACCGCTGCCGTGACTCCTGTAAGCACCATGCACCGAACACTCCTCCGACTAGACTAAACAGAAAACGTGGGTGTGACCATGGTCTTCGTGACCTGCCTCCAAGCTATGACCAGAACCCTGGAAGCTCTACAACCACAGGAGCGACAAACTTTTCAAAGACTCTACAGATGCAATTATTCCACAAACCAATCCAAGCAAAAGCATTGTTTGCTTCAAGACAGATGTGGTGGTACACGCCTGTAATTGCAACATCTGGGAGGCTAAGGCAAACAGAGCCTGGGCTATATTACAAGATCGTCTCCAAAAGGACAGCGGCTAGGAGGGGAGGCAAGAAGGAAAAAATTACTGTGTCGTAACAGACTCAGGTTTCAGCCAGTTCATACTGCTTTAAAGCAGTATGGCTTAGCAGTTCCGAGCTCTTCCAGAGGAGTTTGGTTCCCACATCAGGAAACTCACAGCTGCCTGTAATTCTAGCTCCAGCATACATATTGCACACACCCACACCCAGACATCCAGACACACACACACACACACACACACACACACACACACACTGTTCATTCCTGCAATCCCAACAAATGGCAGGCAGAGCCAAGAGGACCACGAAGCTCCAGAAGAGCCTGAGCTATGGAGGGAAAGCCAAAAACTGGTGCCAGGAGGTCCTGAGGGCCTGGCCTGGTGGCACCTGTTAATCCCAATCCTCAGGAGATGGGTGGGTGGATATCTGGTCTAACAGAGTTCCTGGGGGACTGCCTCAAAAACAAACAAACAAAAAAAAACAACAGAAAACACCAGGGGGTTGGAGGGGGTCTCACTCAGCTGGCCGAGCGCAGGAAGCTGTAGGTTCCACGGCCACATGAACTTGGCATGGTAGTGCGCCTGTAATCCCCTATAATCCTAGCCTGCAGGAGGTAGAACAGGAGGACTCTGTCTCAGAAAGAGAGAGAGAGAGAAGAAAAAAGCCTGAGGGATTGAGGGAAACAGGCAGAAAAAAATTTAAGAAGCCATGCAAACAGAGATAGGTCTGGATCCAGCTTCCTTATTCAGTACATCTGTGATTTTAGCAAATTATTCCTCTCTAATTTATTTATCTGTTTGTTTATTGGTTTTTGGAGACAGGCTTTCTCTGTGTAGTCCTGGTTGCCCTGGAACTCACTATGTAGACCAGGCTGGCCTGGAACTCAGAGATCCGCCTGCCTCTGTGTCCAGAGTCCTGGGATTAAAGACCACCACTGTCTGGCTTTTTTTTTTTTTTTAACTCTCTAAACTTATAAAGATTATTACATTAAAGGGGATGATTAATTAAATGAGATTATACACAGAAAAGCAACCTTACCACTTTGCCTAACCCACTAACAGGTCAAGAGCCACACTTCACCAGTGAGGACTCTGTTCTCTCTTCTTACACTGATATGGGAGTGGGGGTGGGGGTGAGACAAGAGGCCTCCTGCAGTCCGAGTACAAGGTGAACTCACACTGTGTAGTCAAAGATGGATGACCTTGAGCCTTCTGACCCTCAGGCCTCCACCTCTCAAGTGCTGAGAATGCACTCTGGCTCCACTACATCTGCCTCCACACTTGACTGTTGTATAAGAAAAGTGAGGCATGCTTTAGCCAGGCACGCTTGCTTCGTTCGCCTGTGATCTCAGCACTTTGGAGGCTGAGACAGAACCAAATATTATGAATTACCAGCCAGCTTGGGCTATTGAGTGACAGCATCTCAAAAACCGTTCAAAATTTTAAGTACAATGTAAAGACCTGACAAATGGCTCTAGTGGTTAAGAGCATGTACTGCTTTTGCAGGGGGTCAGACTTCAAGTCCCAGTACCCACCTCAGAAGGCTCAAAACTGACTGTATCTCTAGTTCCAGGGATTCCAACCCCCTCTTCTGGCCTCTGGGAGCACTACACTCTCATGCACAAACACACCGACAGACATATAATTTTAAATAACATATAAGAATTTTTTTGTCTGTTTTTCTTTTAAAGATTTATTTATTTATTACTCTTACAGCATTCTGCCTGCATGTGTGCCTACACACCAGAAGAGGGCGCTAGATCTCACTGTAGATGGTTGTGAGCTGCCGTATGATTGCTGGGAATTCAACTCAGGGTCTTTGGAAGAACAATCAAGTGTTATTAACCTCTGAGCCATCTCTCCGGTGTGTGTGTGTGTGTGTGTGTGTGTGTAAGAACAATCAAGTGTTATTAACCTCTGAGCCATCTCTCCGGCGTGTGTGTGTGTGTGTGTGTGTGTGTGTGTGTGTGTGTGGTGTGTGTGTGTGTGTGTGTGTGTGTGTGTTTTCCAAGACAGAATTTCTCTGTGTAGTCCTGGCTGTGCTAGAACTCACTCTGTAGACCAGATCTGCCTGCCTCTGTCTCCTGAGTGCTGGGACTAAAGGCGTGCACCACCACTGCCAAGCTATAAATTAAGAATTTTTAAAAGTATATTTTAGATCATAACTTTGGGGTATTTATAAAATAGCTTAAGGCTGCCTGCTACCAGAAACATAGCTGAAAATTATAAACTGATGACTGCCCAGAAATCTTAGTTTAGATGAGTCAGCAAAACTTAATGCCTCACAAATAAAAAGCTTAACACAGACATCTATGAATACATAATGATAATGATAGCTTCAAAATCAGTGATCTTATAGTCAGTGCTATAGCAAATTCAGTCTGGAAATCAAAAAGCATCAAGAAAACACAAGTTCATCGTAGTAGCTCACACCTGTAATCCTAGTACCCAGGAGTCTGACTACCACTTCAGTGCCAACTGGGGTTACGGAACTGGTTCCAAGGCAACCTGGGAAGAGTGAGACCCTGCAAGGAGGGATGTGGGGAATATAAAGTCCATAACCCAGAAATGCTTTCTTACACTATTTCCAAATCATCTTAACTCAATGGAAGGTACTGAGGCAGCCTGATCATTAGCAATCAGCATCAGTGAACAATTCCTAAAAACAAAAACCCCAATTCTCTTTCCCAAGCACAAAGCCAGAATTAGATGGTTTATAAGCATTTCTCAGTGGGAAACTGAAATTCCAACAAAGGAGAGACAACCTAGATTTTTTTTTTTTTTAAATCACGGCCATTCATTACTTTTTAGTGCAAACACCTTGAACTCTGCAGTGCCACTGACCTCACAGCGAAGTATTTCTGGTAATGTGTCCTCTCTAGCTTCAATAAATAGAGAAATTATGTGCAGTAGTCTACTGAGCTGAGCAGGAATAAACAGCTTCGCCTTACAATAATACAAGTGGATAACGAATAATAATAAAAATTAATGAAAGACCGGCTTGCATGCCTTAGCAAGGGGCCAACTCTGAGGCTAGCCCACTTTCTGAAACAATCCAACCATCTTGGATGAATTAGGACGCGAAGACCCTTGGGGTGCACCTACCCTGTACTCTGCTTTCATTCAAGACCAAACTCGTATTTCTTTGCCTTTTTCTAGTCCGTTTTCCTCTCAAATCCCGAAATTGTCCTTCCACCCTTTAAGTCCCATGATGGCACTTGCGTCCTGGGGACGGCTGACACGCATGCAGAAGACTCACGTGCCCCTTTCGCTTTACTTCACATTTCAAATGGCCCATTATCTCATTCTCGTAGTTTCCGAAACCCAGGACCGCACACACGCTCACGCCAGAGTCCCCCCTCACTCCATTGTCTCTCCGGCCTATCCTCTGGAAACTCCCCAACTCGGACCCGAGCGCCTCGCTCGCCCATTCACCCCGGAGAGCCTCGGCCCTCTGAACCCTGCAGGTCCCAAAGGGCCCCGGCCCCCTCCTCCGGCACCCCAACCCCCAACAACTGCCCCTTCCCTCTTTTCCCGACCTCGAGCCCTCCCTCCACCTCCCGCCGCTCGCACCCGCGCCACCCACTTCACCCAACCCCCTCGGCCTCACCTAGCCCGGGCTCCCTGCAGTCGCCGCGGCCCCCAGTTCCGGGCTCTGCGTCCCGAACGCTCGGGGTCCTGGATGAGGAGAGAAGAGCCTCCGCCTCCTCCCCGCCCGTCCTCGTCCTCCGGAGCCGCCGCCGTCGCTGCCGCGCTCCTCCCCCAGCTCGCCCGAGGCCCGGCGCCGCCCCGCCCCCACCGCCGCCTTCCCCGCTCCCCTCGTCCGCCCGGGCGGCGGGCAGAGACTGGCAGGCGCGGCTGGGGCCGGAGCGCCCGCGGATCCACAGAGACCCTCGCCCGCCCGCACACGCGCCGCTCGCCCGCTCGCCCCGCCTCGGAGCCCGCGCGTGCGCGCGCCCGTGCGCGCGTCCCGGCC